AGATGCAAGTTTATACCTTAGCTTTCTTTCTGCGACTCATTTTCCCAATAATTAAGTAGAAATACGGAAAATACCACTCGTTTCGTACTTTGTTGATAATTTTTAAACACCGGCGGACAAAAAGTAAACACGCGCGAGCGCACAACTTTACGAATCGCAACCACAGAGCAGATCGCCACCTAGGAATTTTTCTCTTTTCAGGATATCACTAAATAAGTACCATATGCAGTGGCGTAACATCACTTGTCTACATACGGGCAGCGCTGGTTAGGGAAGTCCCACTATACCCTCCATAACCAAGAACCATGCGAATGTTAATCAAGATTTATTTATTACAATGGTTTTTACCATACAATATGAAGTGTTTAGCCCAAGGCCGTAGCTAGGGAGGGGCCAGGGTGGGCATTGTCCACTCTGATAAGAAATGTTGCCCACTCTAGAAAAATTGGTTGGATCTTTAAAAAATAAGAAATTAAGTACCTAAATCGCTCAAAAAAAATTAAATTGTGTGTATTTATATTTAGTTATATTTATATCTAGAAAGTAAGGAGGTTGAGGAACGGAACATTCTTAAAGTTTTTTACAATCAACGTGATGCCTTTAAAGAATCTTACCAATTGTATGCAACTGTGGCTGTATTTGGCTGTAGCACAGCTATGTGTGAGTCTTCATTTTCGACCTTAACCCGAATAAATAGACCACAAAGGTACTCAATGTCCCATAGTCGAATGGCCAACCTAATATATTTAGCGTTTGAAAGCAAACGTGCAAATAATATAAACTTGGATGTGTTCTTAAACAAATTTAATAACAGAAAAAATAGAAAATTGCAATTATATTAGTGTATTGTATATTATCTTATTCGTCATGTTATTAACCTTTTTTTGTCTTTTATGTGTATTAATGTATATGTAAACGCATTGATTTTATTTTTGCATTTCAAATATACCTTCTTAGTTGTTTTTTTTATTAAGGGATTTTTATCGTCACCTGCTTTTAAATTATTAAATAATTTTGCCCCCTCTGAATTTTGAGTTGCCCCTCTGAAATTAACGTCTAGCTACAGGCCTGGTTTAGCCTAATATACGGTTTCGCCTTCCTTCAAAGGTCGAACTCCCACCTACACATACATTAGTATGTCAATAAAGTGAAATAAAATAAAGTAAATCAACTCTCCTCAAACTAGACACCATTTTTTAAAAGAACGACGCTCTTTCTTGGTACGTGCGCTTTTGTTGCGTGGAGGCGCTTCTAAAAATCGCTTCGCGCTACTTGTGGCGCTGCCAATCGCACCGTGTGAAGGGGTTACGCTACCAGCCGCGCGGGTTTCTGTAGCGGAAGTTCGCTACACGTCGCCCCACGTCCCTGCTCTGTATGGAAGCAACGTTTCGTTACCAGCGGCGCCACTCTGCAGCGCAGCGCTTCAAAAACGCCTCGTAAAAGGGGCTTTAATACGTCCAAATGAATGTTGTAGGTAGGTGTTTAAATTAGAAACACTTATCATTCATCGTCTACAAGTCCACAAATTCTCTTTCTCTTTGGTTTTCATGCTCTTTATCATACATAGAAATTGTAACTAAATCAGTTTATTTAATCTTTGTCCATCTGACAATAGCGATGTGTCGACATTCTTTATGGCACTGGCTGAAATGAGCGCCAGTTGAGTGTAAAATGCGAATACTACCCCAAATTGTTATTACAGTCCAATACTGCACGTCGGTGTCCAAGAATTTTGTTGCAATATTCTTTCTCCGTGAGCACTGTAGCTATTACTTATTACTTTTCAAATAATAAAAGGTTTTATGAAGCGATCAGCATTGAATAATAAATTAACGTACAAATTAATACCTAGTTACTTACCTACAAAAACCTAGAATGTGTTTTTTTAACAATTCATTAAAATTAAATCATTAGTGGCTACTTTTAGATACTATTTTTCAGTAATTTTGTATTTAATTAACATTGTACACTATATACTGTATATTTTGTATTTCGTATTTTGGTAATATATAAATGTTAGTTGTACTTTGTACAAAAAAGTACACAACAGACACTGGGTTCCTTCTTAGGGTAAAAAATAGTTTTCTGCAGTCGAGAGTTAACACCTAGGTACAATCAGAGCGCCGTTTCATCACGTATCACTGAATTTGACCTTTAATCCCAAATAAATTATTTTAATCAAGTAACTACTTCTCAGTACGCGAGATAATAATCGTACAATAAGTCAGTTTGAGAACAGTTGCATCATTACTGTAGGCATATAAGTGTTCTATTCTTACACTATGGTGTAGGTTGAGATAGACACAATAATTAAATATAGTGATCTATCCAGCCAAAGGTAAGTTGCAGTATTCTGAAACTAAAATGAAAATGATTTGTTACGTAAATAAGCTATGTAATTGTAATACCTAGCTATTGATTATCACATTTTAAATTTTAGGGTATGATTTTGTTCGATTAGTACCTATGGTGAACGAGCGACCCGCTGGAACAGTGATAATATTCTTTGCGTATTATCTCTGGAATGTGTGGGTTATTTATTGATTAGTCGATTATTCTGATAAATAATCTACAAAATATAACGCACGTATTTTGCTCTCAGATGTTCTTATGTAGAGTGCGTACAAGCTTGATTTAATCAAAATCATCTGTTACCGATAACATGATTTGCATGCGTCGCAGCAGAAAAAGAAAGGACGCTCGGGACCACAGTGGACGGGTGCCTTAAGACTTTATGCCACTTAAGAAGAAACTAAGAGGTCTTTACGCACCATATCAGATTTCATTGGTATGCAAAACTAAAGCACTATGTACTGGAATGATTTATATTTCTTTAATTAACACTGATGGTCTGCTCTGTTCATCATCAAGAAAAGTAATGGAACTCCCAATTAATTTTTGCAGTGAGGACAAACTCAGAATTTAAAATTTGCTTCCTTTAAATTTATATTCATCTATGTAGCTGTAATTAGTTTTTACCGTCTTCCCTTCTTAATGATTCTTCATTGTAAGTAGGTTAAATTTATTTAGATAAGTAGGTACTTAATTATCTGTATTCACGTTTTAAGTTAACGACGTTCCGGCTTCACCGCCGAACTTTTTACTCAATATTTGTAATGTGCCTTTACTTTTGGAATCACTACAATAGTATATTGAAAGACAAGTGTTACAATGCGACCTATTGTAATACGACTATCTTGTGGCACGAGTGGCGACGCGAAGCGTAGCCACGAGTGTCCGCAAGATAGGAGTATTACAATAAAGCATTGTAACACGCGTTTTTCATACTATTTTTTCTATTTCGGTGCTTTGATTTAATTAAAAAAATCAGAAACTATAGGGAGCATTAGAACCATTGAATTTAGATAGTTATAAATTCAATGATTAGAACTAACATGTTTTATGTTGGGAACACTTTTTATGCCGTTAAGTTTTAGGTTGGCAGCGTAGTAAGACTGACATTTTGAAGTTCAATCATGGAAGTACCCAACGAAGTACCTACTTGTACTAACTAGTAACTGCCAACTTAAGAGATGAGTTCCCAAAAAAAACGACTATAATCACTGTCTTTGTACAACTGTTTTCGGCCGAAAACAGTTGTACAAAATCATCATTGTGACACCGAAATAGAAAATAGTATATTGAAAGACAAGTGTTACAATGCGACCTATTGTAACACGACTATCTTGTGGCACGAGTGGCGACGCGAAGCGTAGCCACGAGTGTCCGCAAGATAGGAGTATTACAATAAAGCAAATTGTAACACGCGTTTTTCATACTATTTTTTCTATTTCGGTGCTTTAATTTAATTAAAAAAATCATTATCAGAAACTATAGGGAACATTAGAACTAACATGTTTTATGTTGGAAACACTTTTTATGCCGTTAAGTTTTAGATTGGCAGCGTAGTAAGACTGGCATTTTGAAGTTCAAACATGGAAGTACCCAACGAAGTACCTACTTGTACTAACTAGTAACGGCCAACTTAAAAGATGAGTTACCAAAAAAACGACTATAATCACTGTCTTTGTACAACTGTTTTCGGCCGAAAACAGTTGTACAAAATCATCATTGTGACACCGAAATAGAAAAATGTATTTGTGCTGCTGGTTTCCAGTTTCATTACCCATTTTTGGGGTGTGTTACCAATTTTTAGTTCGTAGTTAGAATTTGTAAACGTAAGTTCATACTTGCATATTATATACGGTTGTCTATATTAACGCTTAGTTTTTAGGTTCGGCTATTTAACCTTTTAGAATTTTACTCATTAACCTGTTCAACCAACTATTGTATCGGTGACCATTCGATCAGGCACTTTTTAGTTTTACTGTCCCGTTTATGGGGGGTTTTCATTAATGTAGACAGTTCGTGCACGCACCCTTCCACTGTAAGTTAATTATATATGCTCTCCGCAATTTTTTACCTCCATCTTTTAGTTCAGAGAACACCTGAAGATGACGTCAAGTCGAAACATGTAGTGTTTGTGTCTTCGTTCTTTTTTACACTTAATCAAAGGCGCCGACTTAGGGGTGGCCGAGCACTTTCAGCCCCTCCAATATTTATACTGGAGGGGCTCAGCTCCCCTAATTCTGAATAAGTGACAATTATATACCGTATTCGTATTCGTGGTTACTTACACCAAATCTTGAAACTGCATAATCAGCTTTAGACTCAACAATAAACCTTTATACCTCTACCTCAATGCAAAAATGCAATAACAAACCGTCCCAAGTAAGCAGGAAACCGTTGACACTTCTAAGAAGCAATAATCTGACTCCTGATGTGACGTCATAGTTTTTCTTTCTGAGAAAGGATAAAGATAGGTACCTGCACCTTACACCTACTACGATAAGTGCATTATTTAAAAATGCAAAAATTCGTACTTGCTGGTTTTAGTTAAAAGTCGACGGTTGTCGGTTAGGGTTATGGTGATGTTTTAATAATTTTCTATTGTTATCGTTACGTATTACGTTTTAGTTCCTAAATTACTTATACCCGTAACCAGGGCCGGTGAAAGTGAAAGGCTATTTGGCGCCCTAGGCGAGATGTTCTCAGCGCGCCCTTCCGGAGGTTATTCCTATGGTACCAGTACCAGCCAAAAAATAGAAGTGGCGTTCATAAATACTTTATTGTGTTTTCTTCAAATACATAATAACATAACGACATAACGTGTAGGCGGTGTAGGTATACAAAAACGCATATCCAAAGATATTAGGGTAGGGATATACACATAAAAAATCAAAAATTCATCTTTGCCTTATTTCTCGCGGACTGCTGGACTAGCTGTTCTAAATTTACATTCCATGCCTCCTTCGATTCAATTGAGATCATTGCCAAGTCCACGAGCCTATTCTGAGACATTGTTGACCGCAAAAATGTCTTTATCAGCTTTAGCTTGGAGAAACTGCGTTCTCTGCTCGCCACCGACACTGGAAGCGTCATTAAAATTCGAAGGGCAATGGATACATAAGTGCGCATAGGCCGCCCTCGCTTGACTTGAGAGAGGTGTGCGATCGCGGCACCGGCAGTACCGGGAAGTTTTTTGGAGCCGCCGATGCGCTTTCGCTGAAAGATGTTGCTTAATTTTGGCGCCCTCTGAAGCTTGGCGCCCCAGGCAGCCGCCTATGTTCGCCTTGTGGTTTAACCGGCCCTGCCCGTAACCCGATACCCTATGCAGGTACGTAAAAATGTTTGGGCCCCCCCAAAAATTTTGTCAAGTCGGCGCCTATGCACTTAATTAATTGTATGGGACCGGTTTCGAGCCTGTTTGTTCTATCTTTATAAACTAACTTCCCATTATCCCATTTCGAGTTCAGAATGGACTTCATGAAACCATACTAGCAAATTGGAAAGCTAATAGTAGGAGAGCTAATGGCACAATCTTTTAAACAGTTTTATAATTGTTGATATTTGGATAGAATATAGTTAAGTATCTAGGTAATATGCTAATAACAGTAATAACATATCCGAGCGTCTGGAAGCAATTTCGCGAATGTCGCAGCGGTGGTGAGTGGTTTGATTAAAACTCAAACCCAAAACCCAAATTTGGGGACTTCGATTCTCTGTACTACTGTACAACCCATTAAAAGTTGGAAAATTCAATTTGACCTCTCCGCTGGCCTCTAAATCTCTTGACTACGGCTGGAACCGCAATAAAATACTTAAACACAACTTAATTTTAGAAAGATTAAATTATTATTCAATCTATAATGTATAAACATTCGTCTTGTTTTATGCAGTCGTCTTGCTAAAATATTTCAAACCGCAAAAAAGTGTGGATACATATCTTATTTTACTTTTTGCAGATTTCCAGCTACTGTGATTTACTCCGTCACGAGCTATGAATGAAAACAGCTTGGATACGCTATTATCAAAAATCGGAGAGTTTGGACGATACCAAATTCGGGTTATAACGTTACTCCTCCTGGTAATCGCGTTTTCGTACGTTGCCTCAATTTCTTGGCTATTTGAAACTAAAAACCTAAATTATAGGTACAGTCTCTTGTAAAAGTAATGTCCCTCAGATACCTACCACTGTAGCATAGGCAACCAACATCCCAGCCGCCTAGTCCAAGTTGGATTTGCGGGTGTGGGAGGTAGGTAGGTATCTAATGCGGTTCGTTTTCAGCAGGTATTCCCACTTTGCCAAACTAAAAATAAGTTAGTAGAATGAAAATGAATGGCATCGATTTATTAGCTCAAAAGATCTGCGCTGCTTTAACGTATCCTTGGTTTAATACAATAGAAATTTTTACATTTCTTTCAATTGGTTTGGTGCATTTTAAATTTGGAAATTGTTTAGCTAAAATAATGACCTTTTACTTTTAATTTTTTCGAGTAGATTTTCTTCTAACAAAATAAATGTGATGATTTTGTCGTTTTATACTGACATTGAAATTGAAGTCTCATTATTAATTACTCGGGCCTCCTAATGGAATGCGATTATCTGCACTGGAAGCGCAACAATGCCGTTCCTTTTGTAACTACTACCTCCCACTCCTTTCAAACCCCGGGATGGCATCCGCGGAAAAATTCAGCTGTTTTAATTATTTTTCCCTAATTTCTAATCATTTCACCTGCATGAAAAAGCCGGTTTAACTGGTAACTAATTTTTTTGTCAAAAAATATTATACCTATAACCTGGACTAAATATGCTTATAATACGCCTACCTACTCAAAAATATGCAACGTAAAAGCTCTCCTAAACTAAATTCGATATTAAATCAACCACGACCAAGTATCACAAATGCATATCATTTAATTTCTGATGCTAGTTACAAAAGAAAGGTATTGTTGCACAGTGCACTTGTAGGGCAATTAATCGCATTCCATGAGGAGACCTACTCGCAAGTAATTATTAATGACACTGGAATTTCAATGTCATTAAAGGACAAGAATATCACCTTTATTTCGTTAGAAGAAAACCTACTCAAAAAATTAAAAAGTGAAAAGCCATTATTTTGTCTTAATAGTCTCTAGCTAAACTATTTGCAAATTTAAAACGCACCAAACCAATTGTAAGAAATGTAAAAATGTTTACTGCACCAAGCCAAGGATATGCAGCGCAGATCCTTTGAGCTAATAAATCGATGGCATTCACTTTTATTCTACTAACTAGTATTTAGTTTGGCTAAATGGGAATATCTGCTGAAAATGAACCGCATTAGATACCTACCTCGCACACCCGCAAATCCAACTTGGACTAGGCGGCTGGGGTGTTGGTTGCCTATGCTACAGTGGTAGGTATCCGAGGGACATTACTTTTACAAGAGACTGTACCTATAACTACCGGGGCCATGTAATTCGCAATTTTAGGGACGATGACGTGGGGTCGGCGACATCTGGCGCCATCCCCGAGCGTGTTATACTAGCGTGGTAATTTTTCAGTTATTCTCTGTTAGGTATGTAGATTCTGTAAATTCTATACCTAAGTCTTGTGAATTCTGTAGGTTCTGTAAATGCTGTAGATTATACAGGGTGTTTCTAAATATGATGTAAATACGGAAGGGGCTAATTCTTTGGCTTCTTTTATGAGTAAAAGTGCATATAAACATAGGTCCGCAAGCGCTTCGTTACTGATCTATATACAGCGTGTTAAAATTTCAAGATTTTTAAGTTTTTTCTTTATATCTCCTGAAGTTTGAGATAGTTTACTCAAATTTCAAATATAAGTTACGCTGAATTTGATCATATCAATGGTATTGAGAATGTATGGAGTGTTGTTTTTTCAGGTGCGCCACAGGTAGATTGTGAACTAAGAATTTAATTGTCTGATTTGTTTGGAAACGTTTTAGTCTCTTGGAATTTTTTCGTATTTGCGACCGATGTCGAGAAAAAAAATAAAAGTCAATTTTCGGTAGTTGGCTAAATGAAAGTAATATCTTTAAAACAGACCAGCACGCCTCTGACTTTATTTGACTTTAGTTATGACAGTTCGCATTTGAAATTGTATCTTGTATGTGCATATGTTTATAAATTAAAGATTTAAATTGTAAAGTGTACGAGTACGACGAAACTATAACCGCCTGTATATCAGTAACAAAGTGTTTGCGGACCTATGTTTAGGTATATGAACCTTTAGTCATAAAATAAGCCAAACAAATAGTCCTTTTCGTATTTACATCATATTTAGGAACACCCTGTATAGATTCTATACTTTCTGTAGATTTCGTCGATTCTGTAGATGTACATTTTGCAGATTCTGTTGATCTTTTGGTTCTACAGATTTTATAAATTTTGGGGCTTCTGTATATCTTGTAGATTCTGTAAGTACTGGATATATTATTGTATAATGCTTTACATGCTATAGATACTGTATTTTCTCTAGAATGTGTAGATGTGTAGTATTTGTAAATTCTGTAGTACGTATCTCCTCCATATGTCCTCTAGATTCAGTAGATTTTGTATGTTCTGTTGATTATTCACTTAGTTGAAGAGAGAGATTAGTTCTCCTTTCACTATATTTATACTGTATGGGTATTTGACCCACATCTTTAATATTCTCAAAAAAAGGCAGCATTATATGTTTTACTGTAAAATGGCGCACTTCTCATTTTCTTGAAATTTTTAAGTTTATTCCGCTTTGCAATTATTTAACGTAATTAAACCGAACGTTTCAAAATTTAAGAGACCTAATTTCGTTGATAGTTTAAGTTAATGTTAAGACGTGTAGAAAATGCTGCCGGTACTTGGAAATTAAAGGCAAACCCATTTCTAAATGTCATTAAATTTCATTTTATTGACAGCGTACTTTTTACGTCTTTGATGTATTCGATATTTCGTATTCAAGCATTTTTCATTTTTACTTTCAATAATAGGACGATAAATAGGTATGGCGGCCATTACCCACATACATTTTCAGCTGGGGTATTCCTTTTGTGTAAAAGAAACGCTTATTCTTTTTGAAGTTAAGGACATCACTAAATAAAACAGCAAGAAATTGGCCCTTTAAAATTCTCGCAAGCTCATAAAGTGTTATTTTGTCAGTTACGTATTACAATTTAATGTAATAAATTGCTTCGAAAAAAAAGGGCTCGGCTCGGTAGCAAAAAATATTACACGCTTTAACGAAACATTCACGGTTGTTGGAAGCGGAGGGCAACTGAATGGCGTGAAGGAATAATGACAAAGTTTTTTTTTTCTTTACGTGACAATTTCTAGTATTTTATATTTTCGATTCTACGTAGGCAACGTTTTAATTTTCTCGCATATGGTGTTAAAAGTTATTAGCTACCCTTTAAGGAAATCGTATATAATTTTTATTACTTCGTAAGTAATTAAAGGCACTAAAGCCGTAAAAAAGTTCAGCGGCGTGCTATGCAAAATATTACTTGGTTCTTGTAATTTATTTTTCGTAGATAATCAACTGCGCGACCTGCGAAAATAAAACTAAATTACTTTAGTTCGCCCGTAATTATAACGGCGAAATGAGAAATAAAACAATAAAAGTAAATCCGACCGCGCGATCTTTTGTGCGTAGCATCGAGTTTTAAGTGGGAAAACTGGAAAACTACAGGGGAAGTAATTGACAAAATTATTGGTTAGTAATGAAAACGTATATGCTTTATTACTCTTTTACGTATAATTAAATCGGTAATTTGCATTTATTTACGGAGCAACTTCTGGAGTTACGTAATTATAAGTTTCTGCATGTGTACAATTCCAGCAATTAGATGTCTTACTGAAACCTTTCCGTTTGGTGCTAGCAGCTAGCGTATACGGACATTAGATTTAAAATTCTAATTTTGGACATGCCACACTTGTAAACGTTACAAGATGTTTAATTAAAATTAAATTAATTATTATACCGAAAATCTTATCACTCTCTGTGCGTCTAATTATGCAGACATAATAATACTACCGTATTCAAGGCGTAAAATTTCCTGTTTTTCGATTTTGTGCTAAACCATGAACAACCCGTTGTGCAGGGGTAAAAGGTGATCTGTGACATATAGAATTTTGAACAAATTACAATAAACAAATTTAAAAATCAGGCATCGATTGCACCAAAATGTGATTGCTGTTCCAAAATGAATTCCGGAGAATTTAGTAATTATGCGGGATGACTTTAGCTGCGTGTTTTTTTATGACTAAAAAAACGCATTTGAAATTTTTGAAAAATCTTTGATAATAACTGAGATAACTGAACTGAAAATGTCACATTTTCCCTAGCTTAAACGGTCGGCACCTTCTATGGGTACTTTATTTTTACGGAGAATTTGAATCTGTTATCAAAATTTCCATTTCACGCTAGATCTAGATGCTACAGGCTACTATACTTTCATAATTCTTATAGGCGCCACAATACATTTTTATGGAATGAGATAGAGGGCCAAAAAAGAAATTAATTTGATTGCATCGCTATCGCAGCCATAGCAAGATACAGTTATGGATCTTTTGTTGAGGAATGAATGTAAAACATTTCATTTTACAATTTTTTGTGACGTTTTTCTGTTTTTGTCCTTTATCTCATTCCGTAAAAATCCAATATGGCGTCCATAAGAAATATGGAAGTAGTAGCCTGTATCTTCAACATCTAGCGTGCTATGGAAATTCCAATAAGAGATCCAGATTCTCCGAATAAAAAGTGCCCATAAGAAGTGCTAAAGCGAACCGTCTATTCTCGACTGCTTAAACTAGGTAAAATACGATAATTGACATTTTCCGTTTTTCCGTAATATCTCAATTATTTTCAAAGATTTTTCAAGAATTTCAAAAGCGTCACAGAAAGAGGCAACCTATATTATATCTTTCACCGTTGCAGAGGTCCAAATGGTGAACCACGACTTTAAATCACCCTGTACGTAACGGCACTACCTGGAATACGTATCCAAAAACCCCGTACATAGATTATTATTTTAGCTTCGTTTTTTTTCGCATCCTTAAAGTTTCCCCTAGGTAAAGTCGCCCCCTGAATGACGCCAAAAATACACGACACAATAGGGAAGTTTTTCGTCAATGTCCTCGGAAATGTGCCCTCAAAAAAAATGGCATATTCAATATCATGCGACAGTCGTCTGTTCCAAAAT